GGGGTATTGGGATGAGGCTCTAGACTTCTGATAAACCAACACTCTACACCTCAAAACATTTAAAACCTGTTAAACCCCGAGCCTGTTTTTCAGGTCGAAAATGACATTCCCAGAACAAATGACCATATCTTCCCTTCTAAAAGGGTTAAATTAATAATCTTTTATTTTTTATTTTTTTATTTGGTCATTTGTGTGTGTGAGACTGCCGCATAGCCAAGACCGGAAGCTGCGATAACTCTGGTGGCTACCATTAGCAGCTAACTTTTACCCTGCGATTTTTACATAAAAATTGAATTATGGATTATAAAACAAAAATTATTACACAGAAACATTAAAAACCTATGGATTAACCGATTCAGCCCGTTTTTTCTCGTTTTAATGCCATTGAACACGTCTTTTGATCAGATTAACAGCTACGGTGAGACGATCTCCCTAGAAGCTACGTAAAGGTACGTGTTGTGATGTCTGTCTTTGCTTCCCCTGTCGCAAGTTCGGATCACTCAGTGATGATACTATATACCTAAATAATCTGTGGAACCTCAGCTTTAATCGGATATCTTGTATGTGCAGCTACGATAAGTAATAAGGGTACTTTTATCTTGAGTTCTGTGCCAATGTCCGTTAGCATTTTTTGCTAAGGGGTCATTTAGATGCTTCTTATGAGACTTGTGTTTTGTTTTGGTAAGAATGGTTTATATTGTCAGTTAGCTGAGATTATTTCCGTTAATCTGGTATAACAAATTAATAGGTTCTTAAATATTAAGATCCCCTGAGACACAGTGTCCTGAAAAAAAAAACCAAGGAATAATTCTGATGTTTTGAGATGGGGTTATATGAGTCAGTGTATGTCCTACAGTAGATGGCTCTGCACGGTCCCAGTTTGTAAAAACAGACAGGAACAAAGCACTGAAAAGAAGCAATGTACTGCTGTGGAGAGGGCCACCACTTTTCTTTATCTAAGTTTAAATATATGCTGTATTTAGATTGATTTGTGTAGAGCTTTACCTTGCTTACAGACAGCCCTTTGGGGCGGGTAACTAAAGTGATTATCTTGTTAGGACTTTGAAAAAGAATATTTATATTTATCTGGCTATGCAGATCATAGAATTTACCTTTAGTTGCTTTATTCATTTAGTTACTCTGTTATTGTTGGGCTTTTGTTCGTTGGTATTCATTGTCAGAAATGTAGACTATATTTCAACTGTAATTGCTTTTTTGTATCAATGCAGGCAGGGTCTAATGATTAAAAATAAGTCCCAGCTACTTAGAAATAAAGAAATGCCCGACTTTAGCAACACACAAAGTAAAGTAAAGGCAATAGCTAACACACTAAACCTTTAAAACTTGTAAAACCCAAAGTTAATGATAGTTTTTTTTAATAAAAATCTCAGGTTAAGTGATACAGTAAAGCTCCACATGTGTAATGAAATATGTTTAAATGTCACTATAATTTTCATAGTTTCTGCAAAAAATAACAATATATGCACGAACAATCACATTTGTATATTTGACTGATCAACAGTTTACGGTTCACATTTAATAAAAATATGTTTTTATGTACAATAAAGTGACAGAACTGGATTTATAAACGCCAAGTAATTTGATTACCTATACTGTATGAGAAAAACCTGAATATCTATAGACGTTCATTCTCAATAGACGGGCCATATCTAACATTATGTTAATCTCGTACATTTGGGCTTTTTGTCTGCAGGGATTCATACTCTACTGACATGTATACTGATTTGTTTTTATGTCTTGTAATTGCACTGTTGAGGAACCTGCGATCTAAGTTTTTCATACATTACATATTTCTACCGTAGTTGTGTATACGTTATGACAACACACCTTTGAATCCCACAATCTGAGAGTTTGAATGTCCTCCAACACAAATAGCAGTGATTACCGTAATTTTCGGACTATAAGGCGCACCTGAATATAAGCCGCAGCAGCGGCATACCACTCTCGGTTCCACTTTTACTTTTGCGCGCTACCTGTCTCACTCTTTTCCGGCCTCCAGCTTTTCCTGCTGGAACCCGCCGCTTAAAGGTGGGGGTCCGCGGACCGGCCATAGAGCCCATAGAGTTAAAGGTGTTGGCCGTTAGCTGTAAAAATCCATAGATTAGCCGCACCGTTATATAAGCCGCAGCGTCGAAGAATAGGGAAAAAGGCGCGGCTTATAGTCCGAAAATTACGGTACATGTAATGTAAACATATTGTAAGAAGGGATGCACCGAATATTGGGCCGCCGAAAATTATCGGCCGAAAATGGTTAAAAAGGCCCTTTCGGCTTTTGGCCTAGCACCGAAAAAATATCACCGAATGTCAGAGAACAGGGTTACGTTGGTAAGCTAACGTGTTGTTGTGATGACGTAATCAAAACGCGGCGACAAGCACGGCGCGCGACCATGCTCGCGGCTGGCTCACAGCCAACATCTCTGCCGCTTGGAGATATTTAAAAATATCAGAGAAATAGGCGCGGATTGCGATTTGTAAAACGTGTTCAGCTGACATTTCTCGAGGGGGTGTAACTGCAAAGACTTTCAACACTTCGGGATTACTCCACCACTTGAAATCAAAACACCCGGACAAATATGCGGAGTAAGATCAAATCACAAGCACTGACAGCGAAGACTGTTCAGCGCTGCCTCTCATGTGCTTGATGAGAAGAGGAACAGACTTATGGCTGATAAAGCAGAGAAGCTAATGTTCATTAAAAAGAACCTCCCACTTTTCCTTAATAAGTAGACAAGGCTGGCTTATCATAAGCTTATCTAGTTCTACATGTCTACTCTATACCCACTTTCCTGAACAATTTTCATTGTGAGTTATAATTCACCATCTCAGGTTATCATTAGGGGGAAATGACAGCAGCACAGTGTTCAATATATTGTACTTTCGGTATCTAAATGATACACATTGCTCATGAGGACAGACCACCTTATTTGCAGATTCTTGAAATTGTAATTTAATTTGTAATTGATTGTGGATTTTGTATCCAGTTTTCACTTTATGTATCTTTTACAAATCGCATCCGCGCCTCTCTCTCTGATATTTTTAAATATCTCCAAGCGGCAGACATGTTGGCTGTGAGCCAGCCGCGAGCATGGTCGCGCGCCGTGCTTGTCGCCGCGTTTTGATTACGTCATCACAACAACACGTTAGGTTACCAAACTTATAGGTGCATTTGTTGTTGTTGAAGGCCTGGCTGTTACAGTCTTTATTTACACTATTTTGTTGTAGGCCTACTGGCCTAGATGTTTATGTAGTTTTAAAGCAGCTTGGCTTTGTTCTGAATGCACTTTGTTGTAGTTATCCTACAGAGAAAAGAAAATGCACTTGACTTGGAATTAATGTACTGTATGCATTCAAAAGTGCTGAATAAATGTTTTATGGACCCATAATAGTGATTATTATTTAAGTTAAGTTTTGCCATAATCATTTATTTTTCCATAATCAGGCAGCTGAACAACATTGGTAAAAAATGTATACATTTCTATTTCTATTAATCATTTTCGGCCTTTTGGCATTCGGTTTTCGGCCAACCGTTTCCTATTTTCGGTATCGGTTTCGGCCAAGAATTTCCCATTCGGTGCACCCCTAATTATAAGACAAAGAGGAAGTGCAGAAGATTTTTAGTTCTGGTCTTGAAACTCTGCGCTCATCACAGCATCAATGTCTTTGGGAACTGATATTGCTTTTGATGTGGTTACAATATTTCATAATGAAAGTTTTCCCCACTTATACTCCTGTCTTTTCCAAAATGTGGGTGTGCCAACCATTATCTACTATAGGTAAAACACTTACTATGCATAAGCATACAAATCACACTTCAAAGAATCTTAACCATCCCTTTTAATTATCCTTTAGATTTTAGAATACACAGTAGCCTAATCGACTAAATATATAAGTAGTGTCATGCTCCAATGAACAAGATGAGTCAATGAGTTGTACCTGCTCCTTCTGCCTGTAGAAGGAGGTCTATGGCCCACTGAACCTGGTGATGGGCGTCAGCTTTGGGGAAGTTGTGACAGTACAGCCACTCTCCAAACTCCAGCAGAAGGTTGGCCTTCTGCCACTGAGTCTCTGCACTCTGTCCACAAACACAGATGTCAATTTAAAACATCTTTCATGATTGTCAACAGGAAATAGTCCTTAATGTAGTCTGGAGCTTGAATTTGAGTGACTTTGGATGGTATCACATACTAATTTCATCTTAAACCAAATGAATATTCAGAGGATCTACTACTGTATTTCCTGCTGTTGCAATGCACACTTAAAAACAATGTTGCAATAACACAATGGCTACTCATGATGGTGCTAGAGCTTTTGATAGAAATAGTGTCTTTGCCAATGGACGACACAGGAACTTACATTTTGACTTCATGTTGAGAATTTTACAATAGCTGCACTCCTTAAGCTAAGCACTTTTTATACACTGTAATCTCACTGTATGCCTCTAACACCAAGTGTTTATAAGACATCAACTGTAGAATGAAACACCTTTGCAACAATAAAAGGGAACACCACCAAATTGATGATACCAATGTCATGTCCTTGGCCTGCAAAAGTGTTATCAGTATGTATCAAAATAAGCCACTCTCTCTCAAAGCTATACATTTAAAAAGTAATCTAAAGTTTATGATATCAAGTATTACTTTTTGCTTCATAGACAATAAATAGAAGATTGATTTTAAGGAACTACACTTCTTAAGTTTAAATAAATATTTGTATTTTATAAGACTTTTTTATTCTAACTTCTTATGTTTATATAAATACATTTATTCTAACTTATAAATATATTTTTAACACTCACTCATCATTTAAAAAAGCCCTCAAACTTCACTTTTTCTCTGCCCTCTGATGGTCATTCTCCACAACTATCAGTCATTGAGTAAATTCTTTAAATCTTTTTCATTCTGTATTATATCTGTACTGCATTTGAATAATGAATGAATCTGCTGATATATGAGGTCTGGGTAATAATGTAAAAATGCTGCAGAACAGATGTATTACCGTCAAAGAGGTGATGGATGTCTGATAGCAGGTGAGCTGTTGGGTGGTGTCGTCAGCACACAGCGCCACCTGGTGCCACATGTGTGAACAGCACTGCTCTCCTTCATCTTGTATCTTCTGCATGTCAATCAGCACGCTTTCCCCCAGTCGCGCTTTAATCAGTATTCTGTGTTTCAGAAGAAGTCTGGGAAAACACAGAGGACAGTTAGATTTCATTCTGTCAATCAGTCTCCCCAGCCCCTCTCATAGCTGCTCCCCCCTCTTTGTTTCACTCACAGCCTGTGTTTGGTGCGTGGCATGTCTCTAATGGCTTGGTCCAGAAGCTGCAGCGCACTTTTCCAGTCTGTTTTATCAATGTGGATGTCGAGCAACAATCCATAAATTGCTGCTCTTAGGGTAAGATCCTCTTCATCGTCACATAGAAGGAGCAGACATAAAAACACAGAAATCACATGCATATCAAGACCAGTGGTGTACTGTAAGGGTTTGCTCTTAATGTAAGCAAACATGTAGAATACATTCCATGCATATATCCCACCCAAATGCAAATAATGCATGAAGTGTAATTGTCATCTTAGAAATCTGTGTCTGTCTTTAAAGCAATTTTTGAGCAAATATGTCAACGTTTGACAACACTAACTGCCTGGGGACTTCTCTACAAGTTCACTTTACTCTGAAATGCATTTAAATGATGGCAATAATTTCCCTAGTGTTGTGTTTATTATGTCCAACCTGTTAAGATTTCTTAACTATATATTTCAGGACCATTTCGTAATAACAGTTATTTGTTTAGTTTTAAGGGTATTTGGATGGTTTTAGGTGTTCTTTGGCATGTCCTATTTCTCTTTATGGCACAACTTCGTTGAATACTCGATTCCGATTCGTTAATATTTAAATTCCAGAGGTTGTTGATTCTTGCTAACAGCTCCATCAGCGGCTAGGGAGAGCGGACCGTTGCTAAGGAGGATCAGGGAGACTATGTGCAGTAATATCAATCTGCAGAAAGAAGTGCGGTACATTTAACCTCAGCTGTGGACAACAAACATGAGTTTTACTCCATCAGAAAACACCATGGAATACTCTTTGAATATTCATATTTATAATTGTAGTGGGCACCTCACTTTGGATTCATGATGAAGCGATAGTCTTTTTTGAAACAAGAAAATCTATGGGGCAATGGGGATCTTCCATTTAAAGTGTTGTATTGTGAATTGTGTAGCAGAGTTTCCGTTAGCCGGTAATTACCGGACTGACCGGTAATATATGCTGATGTTTAAAACTCAGTTAATGGGGCTCATTTTTATATTGCTTTAGTTCTAACTTGAAGTGTGTGTTTTGCTCCGCTCACCGGCCCGTCACAGCGGACGGAGCTGTGATCCGGTAGAGCTGCGTGTCTCCGTCAACAGCAGCTGATCCTGATCTCTCTCTCTCTTTCTGCTTCACACACGTTGCATATAGGCCTAGCTATTTTATTGTCTTTTTCGGACACCTTGAAAAACTGCCAGACCAGTGAAGCCATTTTGGTGAGCTTCTTTTGCCGCGCACAGAGAAAAGTCTCATGTATTTTGCGTCATCTGATCGGCTCTCCTGATCGGCCTTTATCGAGAGCACAGATCAAACCATTAAGAGTGAATATCGGCCGATAATGATCGGCGGCCGATCGATCAGAGCATCCCTACACTTTATGATTTTCTGGCTTGTGTAACCATTAGCCAATAACCAACCAAGGTAACCCCCCCTTATCACCTGAATCTCCTCCTGGAGCACCATAAGGCGCTTTCACACCAAGTATTTTGCCGTACTTAGTTCATCAGAACTCTTTAGTTCTGATGAACTAAAGAGAAGATCGCATTCACACCGGAATAAGTCCCTGAGGGAGGATTAGTCAAATGAAGCCGCTGACGTCACTTCTTCTGCTTTGGGTTTACTGGCAGGCCGCAAACAACTTCACGGCATATACTGCCACCCGAAGTCCCCGGCCGGAAGTCCCCGGAGTTGGGGACTCCCAGCAGCTTCGACTGAAGCCGTCCGAGTAAATCGCCAGAACGCCGACACCACCTCATCTCCACCGCACCCATGTTTTCTTTTGTGTTTCCATAAGTTAGTCTCTCTGCGTTTGTGCGCTGGGCTAATGCTAATAATGCTAATGCGAGGAAAATAAAATGGCGGGGTAGCTCCATATTTTCATTTAAAGTAATAGACAGAGAATCAGCACTTTTGAAACAGGGCTGAAACAGAGGGGTTGATGGGATGCTGCAATGATCTGTTTGGTGTTTCGAGCCAAACACTTCAGAGACATGTTTTGTATATATCTGAGACCTATAATAAAAGTAATGAAAAACAGTATAATAGGGGACCTTTAAGGTGGCACCAGTGGCTCATTCTGTAGGGACTGGTCTACAGTATGAAAATAATGGGTTGCCGGTTTGCCTCCCCGTTGGACCAGTGTGGACTGCTAGCTGCCTGTAGCTTTCCTAGGTTTCATCCTCCAATTCTTCTTCTTCTTATATAATACATGAACTATCTCAAATGAAATATGTGTTTGTAATATATATTGTAAAACTTTCTGTTTAGTGTCAGGACCCCTTTTCTAAAGCTTCAGATAGTTGATCAGGTTGTCCTATTTCATATATCTGCAGTATGTCTCATGATTGTACTTGTGGAATTAATACAATATTGTTATGCCATCCATTATCTATGGTATTGGGATACATGGAAAAAGCAATGGGATTATCAATGAAGATAGAACCAAATATAAAAGGAGAGTTCACATTTGAACCATGTCAGGGTCCTTTTAGCACTCACCAGTTGCTTCATGTTTAGATCTCCCAGGAGGCAATGCTGTCAAGGTCAGCAAGCCTTTCACTTTGCCCTGTTCCTGAGAAATAGATGGGAATAAGTCACTACAAAAGTGATACAAGTGATAGGACAGAGTTGCTGGTTGTGGTGGAGGGTTGGTTGTACTTAAGGCTCACTGATGTACGGTAAATTGCTATCTGACCTTGCCCTGTAAATCACCCTGTCCCCCCATCTGTAAGTCCCCCTTCACACCCAGAGTCAGCACCAGCACTGGTCCACTTATCCTCGTAAGGTAGAAGACCCCAACTGACAGGGAGTGAATGTGCGTGTAGTGAGTAAAGCGTTTTTCAGATTGCAGTCTTATTTCTGAAAACTACTTGCTCTATCTGCTGTCTGCATATGGATTTTTAAATGTGGGTTTTGACCAGTGTTGGGACTAACGCGTTACTGTAACGCAACTACCTTTTGCGGTAACTAATAACTAGGGGTGCACCGAATGGGAAATTCTTGGCCGAAACCGATACCGAAAATAGGAAACAGTTGGCCGAAAACCGAATGCCGAAAGGCCGAAAATGTATCGGTTTCGGCCAAGAATTTCCCATTCGGTGCACCCCTAGTTATTAGNCCGATTTTGTTGTCAATGTTTTGACTGAACTTTGTTACTGTTCACATATAAGTAAACATTACGTTTGAATGATTTAGTGAGCTGGTGTTATTTTTTTCAAACCGCATGTTGGCTATTTCAGCACTGTCACGCGCTGTCCAGCTACTTATTGATCCACTATCAGCGTCAGTGCACCCCGCTGCCAGATTGTGCCTGTGCTGTGTGTCATTCACTCTCAACATGGATACAAGTACAATAAGCATTCTTCAGGTGTAGGTAGATTTTCTATTCGGACATTGTAGCCTATATGTTCGACTGTCAGTCCGATATTGTAAAAAACAAATAACAATCTCAAAATAATCTTTTATTTTTATTCTCTAAATAATTTTCCGGGCCAAATATTATTGCTGGCGGGCCACCAATGGCCTGCGGGCCGCCGATTGCTGACCCATGATGTAGTGTGTCTGTAGCAGTGTCCAGTTACAGGACTTGGATTCCAGTCACAAATGTGATGACTCTTTAATAAAATGAAAAAAAAAAGAAAAACATTTGACTCAAAAACTCAATGTATAGGACTTGGACTCAAATCCAGTTTTAAGTGCAGAGACTTGTGACTTGCTGTTACTGATGAGATGTTGTAGCCAAGTTGTCAGACAATCATATACATCCACACACACAATGACCCCTTTTTTAACATACACAAAACATGTTGTAGAAATTACCTGTATTTGATATTTCAATGAATATTTGAGATAATTCAATAGAGGGGTACAGCATTGTGGAGTACAGACATTCGGAGCTTTAATCCAGTATGCAGATTCTCTCAATTTTTCCTACACAGAATATGTTTTTCACCAACTGGCCTAAATATAGCACAGCCCACAGCTACCTTTTCTTTGGTGTTCAACAACTAAGTGGAGCAAATGAACTCCTAAGCAGTAGCAATACAACAGCAGAGCATCACAGGAAAGCACAGAAACACAGTCCACCCCTGGAAATGTTCCAGCCCCAGCATCAGAGAAGTCTTCACACTTTTACTCAGCTGCTGAATGAAAGTTTGGCCAAAAAGAACCAGCAACAAAATGAAGAAGGGAGCAGAATGAGAAATGAATGACAGCCATAATGACCTTTCATGTTCTGCCATGTCTTTTTAACAACTTTCTTTGGTTACTAGAGTAAAACAGGCGGCAAAGTTCTTCATTAATCTTTAATTGATGAAAAACTTTCTTGAGGCTGCTACAGGGGAAAAATGTGAGAAAACATCTCCCAAGTGCTGCTTGCGGACATCAATCCAGCCAGGGGGGTAAACACTCATCCAAATTCAACATAACTTCAAATTTATAATTAAAGGCTTATTTGGGAATATAGAATGGTGCGCATCTGTAGTGGGCTTTCCCACTTGCCCTTATTACCACGGGAGAACCGGGAATAAACAGGGGAAACTACCTGATACAGTCTCCTCTCAACAGACCTACAGTGTAAAAATAAACCTGTTTTTAGTCAATTGTTCATATTTTTTTTCCAAAAAGACAAATACTCTTGTAAAGCATTTTTTGCTGAGGAAAAGTAATCTTATTTTAAGAATATATATCTTTGACTTAAAATATCTCATCTTATATTGAGCTAGATTTAACTAGTAGCAAGCTACAAGAATTATTTGCATAAATTCACGCCAGTGGAACAGGATAATTTTTTCTTCTTTTGAGAGTAAAACCACTTACACGACTTCTTAATTTAAGAAATTTGAAATTACACCTATGTTAAGGTTATTTTTGTTTATAATTGTAATTTGTTCATCTATTTGATTAATTGTCAATGAGAGCTACCTTTTCCCATTTCACATAATTACTATTAAGAGAACTGCGGTGTGGTCTACAAACAAAAACAATACATAGTTACTGCTCTCAAAAAAGTAACTAGTTACTTTATTAGTTACTCAATTATAAAAGTAACAAGTTACTTTACTTTACTTTAAAAAAAAAAATAACAATAAAAATACAAGTTTTTGTGTTTTTCTGTGGCACAGTAAGAGAAAAGACAACTCCCCATCATTGTAGCAATTATCATTATGAAATGTAGTGGAACAATAAAACACAAAAGATATGTTTAGACATTGGTTGAGACGGTGGGGTCTTTGGGGACTAGTTTTATAGCCCCAATGTACATTAGTTAGGTGCTTCAGGAGATTGGCATTGCTGTTATTGTTGATGTGGACAATGCTTTCTGTCCTGCACACAGTTTACATTTGACCGTAATATTTTTTGCATCCTTTATCCCCACAAATTGAAAATAGTGGTTATATCTCCAAGTTGTAAATGCGCTGCTGCTCTCGCTGATACTTGCATCTGCCATTGTGTCTGTGTGTGCTGGTGGTGGGCGTTGCCGTGTATGTGTGTGTGTTAGCAAGTGTTTGTGTGTCTGTGTATTTTCCCCATAAGGCAAGACCCGCCCAACTCTTTCTCTGATTGGCTTACCCTGGAATGTTACCCTGCGTTAACCAATCGTCACTCCTCTCTGGTCACTTTCACTTTTCCATGGTACTGTGAGAGGACATCGCTGTATTCGTCTGTAAATTACATCCGCAGGGAGATTCGGTTCAGTTGGATTACATAATGTAATGTAGTAACGCACCCATTTAAATCACAGTAACTATAACGGCGTTACTGAATGGGAATAGGTAACTAGTAACGTTATTAGTAGGGATGCACCGAATATTCGGCCGCCGAAAATTATCGGCCGAAAATGGTTAAAAAGGCCCTTTCGGCTTTCGGCCGAAAGAGTTCTAGCACCGAAAAAATATCACCGAATGTCAGAGAACAGGGTTACGTTGGTAAGCTAACGTGTTGTTGTGATGACGTAATCAAAACGCGGCGACAAGCACGGCGCGCGACCATGCTCGCGGCTGGCTCACAGCCAACATGTCTGCCGCTTGGAGATATTTAAAAATATCAGAGAAAGAGGCGCGGATTGCGATTTGTATAACGTGTTCAGCTGACATTTCTCGAGGGGGTGTAACTGCAAAGACTTTCACCACTTCGGGATTACTCCACCACTTGAAATCAAAACACCCGGACAAATATGCGGAGTAAGATCAAATCACAAGCACTGACAGCGAGAGACTGTTCAGCGCTGCCTCTCATGTGCTTGATGAGAAGAGGAACAGACTTATGGCTGATA